AAGGGATATTATGTCATGGTTGTGTTTGGCCCTCGTTTCAGGACAGAGGTTGAATGGGGCATTCGTTGGCATTTGTTCTGATCCCTCTTTCCCAGTCCAGAATGGAAAAGACGGGGAAGAGAGCAGAGAAGAAATAGGGTGGTCTTTCCACGCAGTGGTTGAGGGGTTTGAAGTTTCGGTCTGGACTGGAGGTGGGATTTCAGCGTCCTGGAGAGAGCGGCCGCTCTTTCCTGTTTTTCTCTTTGCTGCTTTTATGTCTCTCTTGAGTGTTTTTTTTAATTATTTGCATTTGAACATACTTGTGTGTTATCTTCATATGCCAAAGAAAATTAGAGTAGGATCAGTAGAAAGTCGACTTATGGTCAAAAAGAACAGACTTTCAGCAACTCCTGAGTCTTGTTGTGACCACACACTTGTACCAGGCTTTTTACCAGAGCATAGGGATATCATTCCCTGTTCAGCCTCCCCCAGCATTCCTGAGTCTAGCTGTGAAACCTCATTGAACAGAAACAGAGCCACAGCCATGCTATTATTATCATTATTTCAGTTTGACACCTAAATGGTGTTTTACAAGTCGGTCTCCATTCACACTCTTAATTAGAACCCAAACATGTGTTTTTCTTGGCTGGATCGTTACCTAACACTAAAACTGTTAAAAACATTTTTGTTGATTAAAAGGAAGCTGAAATAAAATATAAGCATTCAATTAAAAACTTGATTACGTGAAACTTGAAAACTTGAAAATTTTTTGACAATGAAAAATGGATCAACAATAAAAACTGAAATAAAATAAAATTAAACCTAAGTAGTAATATTCAAGAAGAACATAAACTAATAAAAATGACAAAAGCACATAACAGAATTACTAAAAAAAATTAACTAAAATTTAAATGAAAACTGAAAATATCAAAATAAAAGCTACTTAACAATATTAATAAAAACTAAAATAGTATATAAATAATATTTAAAAAAAAACCTGGGCTGAATGAATGAAAAATAAGTGTTGACTTAACTCTTTGCCATTGCATTAAGTAAAACGAATAAATAACAATAAGAATAAGGCTTATGCATATTTTATTTTTTTATTAAAGAACACACCGGGGCTAGTTGTCACAATGGGAGCCTGCTGTTAATCGAAACTGATTTGAAAAGAATATATTTTCTTGATGTATGAAAAACCTTTTAAAGCACTGTTTGTGTAAGAAATGTACTAGATTTTTTTGTTGTTGTTTGTCATTTAGGAAATGTTTACATGACACCGTTTTCAACCTAAAAGCAAAACTTGGTCACACTTTATTTTAAGGTCCAATTTTCGCTATTAACAAACCATTAACTACAACTTTTGCCTCAATAAACTCCTAATTACTGCTTATTAATAGTTAGTAAGGTAGTTGTTAAGTTTAGGTATTGGGTAGGATTAGGGATGTAGAATATGGTCGTGCAGAATATGTGCTTTTACTTATAAACAGCCAACATATTAATAATAGGCATTCTAATAAGCAACTATTTAATAGGCCTGAAGAGTTTCGGTGTGACCTCACAGAGCTAAACACTCAATGACACGTGGTCTAATCTGGTCGCTCTGCCCGACATGCTGTCTGCACACTGTGTGTATAAACGGCACGCTGAGAGGAACCCTGACTGAATTACCCAAGAGTTAGACTCACAGCCTAACAACTTTCAGACGTGTTACCAAGTTACTTGTGATTTAATCTGGGCCGCCGCAGTTCCCACAGTGTCTCGCTTTAGCGTTTAAAGGGAGGAATTCCTCTAAGCCATCTCATCTCTGCCCATTGAGTTTAATGGAAACCACATGCATTACATTCAGCAGGGAAGTAAAAGGCATTTTCAGTCTCACCCTGGACGCCCCACACGGGCTGAAGGGTGTTTTTGTTTCCAGTCAGGTTGTATTTGTGATTTCTTTGGAACAGCTATTGACGTGCTGTGTAATTTAGAGGTAGCATACTAACATCAGACATGTCTTACATCAAGCCAGTATCATGTTATGAGTGCATGTCAATGCTTTTGGATAATGCTGTGCTATTTGTAGACCGTGCTTGTTGCCAGAATGTCTTAATGTTTCACTAGGTTTGTGCATTTTTACTATGGTTTTGTACGTTGATCTATTGTATACAGTATTTTGGCAATTTATTTTACATCTCGTGAAGCTTTCTGGGGAGAAATTTTGTAATGCTAAAGATAATGTGTGTTAGACATTTATTTGCTAGTATAACAGTCTATTATTTGCTATATATAACAGTCCTAAAACCTGACAAAATAATTGAACTGGAGGACACAAAGATTTGTTTAAAAGAGATTAGCACTTTCCCTTGTGAAAAAGAAGTATACTTTTAAAAAGAGCACTTATTGTGGGGGAAAAAAGCGAAATGCAAACTGAATGTAATGTTTCAGACACAAAATCGAATGTAACATTGCATATTAATTAAAAAGGAAAATTTAAATTAAATGCAAATGCCTGAACTCTAGAGTGCTTTTTTTGTAACATTTTGAAAAAAAATTATACTACTTTGGTTCCTCTACATCAAAATTTCATGTTTAATATAATGTTGTGTTTCTTTGTTCTTGTTTTTGAAATTTACTCATTTTTGAGTGAAAATTGTTTCCACACTTAATTTGTTTCAGTGTAAACTAAAATATGCTTTAATGTAATTTCTATCAATGTATTAGAATATATTTGCAATTACACAGTTGTAATGATTAAGTAATTTAGTACATTTAAAATATGTTCATTTTAAAATGTAAAATGAAATAATGCACTACAGTTACAGTTATAATCAAGTACTTTGTATGCATAACGTTAGTCAGCACATCAAAATAAGTGTACTTCTATAAAGCATGACAAAAAATTTAAACAATAAATAAAAATGTACGTAATTCAACATTTTTAGTTTAATAAAAAGTTTATTTAAAATGACTAAAGTGCACATTTTAAAGTTTGTTAAACATAGTCATGAAAGTGTCTCTCTACTACACTTAAGTGGCCTTTTATTTCATTTAATATTATATTAGTTGTTAGTACACTTTTTTGTAGTACACTTCTTTTTCTCAGTACACTTCTTTTACACAAGCGCTGGTATGTTCCTCTCCAGGAAGTTTTTATTTAATTATTAATGTCCTGTTTTTTAGGATATGTCAGTACAGGAAAGAAAACATCATTTGTCAAGCCTTTTGCTTCAATACAAGGAAACTTATTTTAGCACTTGATAATGTTAGCCGCTCATACATTTTAGTAGATTGCATTCTACTGAAGACGTCGCTGCATCCAAAGTGCTTTTGAGCCCCTCACTGACATGTGGAGCCAAACAGAGGATCATTTATTAACCAGACGCAACACACGGCCTCATGGGACACACTAATCAATGATGCTTTACCTGACAGGACAGACAACAGCCATGCATGCTTTCAGCAGGCTAAAGTGCTCTGAATCTAATGAGAGATCAGTCTTGCAGGAACTCCAGAGACTATTGAACAGAACTGAATTTTTAAACCCGAGTTTTTCATAATCATTATACATCAAAATAATCCCTTTAAGAGTCACTGTTAGTATTGTGACTACAGAATACAATAATGACATAATATATTTGGACAGAATGCACATAGTTAAAAACACATACATCACGAAAAATAAAATAAAATAAATCTAAAGTACTAAAACAGTTACTCTTCAGCTTTTCTATGAGTACACAGTACAATGTATTGGAATTTTCTAATTTGTTTTTTACAGTGTACTCCTCTAGTATTCTGTTGTATTGAGTTTTTAAAGATATTGTTTGACCCTTTGCCATAAGGAGTCGGCGCTATTTCTGGCAGGGGAAAGAGCCACTAGGAAACGGTCTGAGCGGTCAATGATGGTTACTCTTGCCCAGGAATGGCATCTGAGAGGCGGCATTTAAATTAGCCCAGCGGTTCCTCTTGCAGGAGCTGAGAATAGATGAGCCCTGTTGGGTGATGAAGGTTTACGACCGCCAGTGAACTCAAGGTCATCACTCTGAAAATATGAGCCGTAAAACCACTTGTTATGCGCATTTTGGAAAATGGCATTAAAAAAGCTGAATGGAAACACCAAGATGTGCATAAATAAAAAAAAAATGCATATAAAAAACTGAGTTGATCCGATGAGAAACTATGCACACAAACTAGATGGAAACACATTTACGGAATAAATTCCACATTTAAAAAGTCATGTGACTTGATGGCATAGCTGGACTAACCAGCAGACATTAATGCATGAGCCAAAGTCTGTATAGTCAAAGTGGTTTGCTATTACCTCCCAGAACTGAACACAACTGCGCTCCCAAACAGCAGACATCCTCCTCCGAAAGCAAGATAAAACATGACCGCATTTATTGCGTTTCGTCTGCGAGCTCTGAGGCGCAAGTCATTTATTTTATATGAAAAAAGACCCACAGTGGCTTCTACTGCAGCAAATGACCTTTTTCTTAGTGATATTTGGCGCTAGTTTATCAGGGTTTTGTTCTCTTCGTCTTGCTGGATGGAAACAGTGCTTTATTTGCAAAAGTGTTATGCCATGTTCCAATTTTGCGCATAAGTTAAATTCACAACTTTGGATGGAAACACAGCTAGTGAGGTTGCGAAGAAAAGGAGAGTTGCAAGTGGTAAATGTACTGTGACGAGAACAGACAAAGAACTGAACCAAACTAGCAGTATAAATACACAGGACAAATGAGGGGGAAAATAAGGAACAAGTGGGACTGATCGATTAATAAATGAATAACTACAGGAATGAATAAATACTAAACCGAAAGTAGAAAACACAGACACTACGTGATTTGTGTTTTCCAAGAGCATAGTTAGATAGATAGTCCAATGATTTCAGGTTGTATTAAATCAGATATTATAACCATATATTTATATATTATAAAAATTCCACATTCACCGTAGTTTTTCTGAATACATGTGTATTATAGTGATTGTTGTGAAACTGAATGCACTGCTTATACTTTGTCTTTTTGTTGTAGATGGACCTGAAGCTACTTTTCATGTCAACATTATTCGGGATCATTTGTTGCAGCAGCGCACAGCAAGGTAATGTGAACTCCGTAGTTTCTAATTCACTGTATTTCTGTCCAGTGCACTGTAACTCTGTCCGACTCCATCAGAATTAATAAGCGCTGGGTTTCTATGAGGATAACTAATCATTCTCTCTCCAGAGCGAGCGTTAAATACTGATGTCATTACTCAGAACGCGCTCCACCCAGCGCGGTCGGAGCATTATCCATCATGGAAAACATAGAGTAGTCATCTTGGCTCTAATTACAGCGAGCCGGAGTGATGTAAATGAATCGAAGCTGTAGATGTGAAATGCTCTCCGTCTCTCCTGTTCTGCAGAGGGCAACGAGTGCATCAAAGCCAACGCTTTATCCTGTGGCGAGTGCATACAAGTGGGGGCTAAATGTGGATGGTGCACTGATACAGTGAGTAGTGTTCAGATGCCATGGTCATTCTGTTCTTTAACACATTTACCTACCCAGTATATTTATGCTGAATCACACTCACATTCATGCTGACTAATCAGAGCTGTACTGATAGACCAAGAGCATGATTACCAGTCTGATATCGCTTTTATACAACAGTTCAATAAACAATTGGACCAAACAGGCATAATGCAGAAGAAAATGACTCTAGATGTTAATAGGTTTGGCAGATTTGCCAGGAACAGTAATGACGGATGGATGTTGTCATTCCATTCATGCTCGGAAATCTCATTCTTTTCTGCATGGAAACATCTTGGTGATGCTTGAGATTCCTTCTAGGAGACCTTATAAGGAATTTCAAACATCAGTAAAGTTTTTTGTATTTTATTTTATTTCAGATAGCGTTTATTTCAAGTAACGGAAATGTTTTTTATGGTTTTAATTTAATTTTAGTTCATTAGAATAACCCTGCAAACTAGTACTGCAGGTACAGTGATGATGATATCATTAATATTGTCTTATTAACTATGTTAGTACACTGTAAATAAATAAAATACATTTTACAGTTACACTACACATTTCATTACTGAATTTTAAATATCAAGTGTCATAACACAACAGTTATTTCTTTAGATTAATTAACTGTAAGATGATTTTCTTTACTAAAGGTTTCTTTTTATTATACACTCTCAATGTGTAACCATGCAAAAATTGTACCTTTAACATCTGCATATTTTTTCTGACAGTGCATGGTTTTTAATTTTATAGTATGTGCTTAGTATGTGTGAGATATGTACACCAGTTTACGAAATTAAACATTTTATTCAGCAAGGACACATTAAAAATGAGTGAAGCCATTTTTAATTAAATATAAAAAAATATTTCTGCTGTTCTTTTGAACTTTATATTCATCAAAGAATCCTGAAAAATAAAATGTATCACAGTTTCCACCAACATTTTTAGCAACTGTTTTCAACATTGATAATAATCAGAAATGTTTGTTGAGCAGCAAATCAGCATATTAGAATGATTTCTGAAGATCATGTGACACTGAAGACTGGAGTAATGATGCTGAAAATACAGCTGCGAATCACAGAAATACATTACAGTTTAACAGATATTCACATAGAAAACAGTTATCTTAAATTGTAATAATATTTCACAATATTGCAGTAATAATACTCATGAAAAAAGAAACCAATGTGAAACACCACAAACAGACGTTGAGGGAAACAAGAAACATGACAATAGTAGCAATCAATTCATAATTTTAAAGAAATACAACTTAAAGATAAGGTTGTAAATTATTAGAATTTTTATAATCCTTTTTACGATGGATTCACTGCTTCATCGACATCTTCAAAGAATCTGACATGCTTAATTCACATAAGCTCTTATATTTACTCCCCATCAGGAGTTTCTGAAGCAGGGCGAGCCGACGTCAGCGCGCTGTGATGAGCTGGAGTCGCTCAGGAAGAGAGGCTGCGACAAGATCGAGAACCCTCACGGGAGCCAAAGGATCCTCAAGAACAAAGCAGTGACCAACCGCAAGAAAGGAGCAGAGAAACTCCGACCCGAGGACATTACACAGATCCAGCCTCAGAAACTCAGCCTCAACCTCAGATCCGGTGCCAACTCACAATCTGAAATCCTTGTTGGTTTTTATTGATCTGTGCAAGTAACTAAAGGAATATTAATGTTTTTTTTGTTTTGTTTTGTTTTTGTGAATGAATTATTCCTGTAGGGGAACCTCAGAATATCAAACTGAGGTTCAAGAGGGCAGAGGACTATCCCATAGACCTGTACTACCTGATGGACCTGTCCTACTCCATGAAGGATGACTTGGAGAACGTCAAGAACCTAGGGACTAGTCTGATGAAGGAAATGTCCAAGATCACCTCAGATTTCAGAATAGGTGAGAGTCTTATCAAATCAAAACAAAACCCTCCTGTAGTTTTGCTTGAAACATTGTCCCCGTTACATACTTGTTTTAAACATGTAATAGCATTGTAATATATGTGAAGCATATATGTTTAATAAGTTTATCATATCTGTCAAGGATACATTTTATATCAAATGTATGAATGGTAATGTGTTAAAAGGATTTACTTTTGAATATATGCATCTCAAATTACAAATATCATGTGTCAAACTGCATGTTGATTTTCAATACAGCTTTCCATAAAAATGTCTTTCTCTATATATATATATATATATATATATATATACGACGGTTCGGTTCAGTTCGGTACAGTTTCGGTACAGCAGGGGGGAAAACTAAACATATATTAGTATTTTTTTTCATTAAACTGGTTTACTGAATGAATTGCTCTTTCTTTAAATAAATTCAGTTATAATTACATTTTTTTAGGGATAAAAATCTACCTCGGCTTATGCTTTAAACTATAGTGAGCCCTTTTACATTAGGCCTACTATAAGGTTACAGTTAACAACAGAGCCCAAACTTAAATTGAATTACTATTTATTTTTTTGAAATAGAACAAGCAACACTCAACTTAAAAAAAAATGTATGCAAACATGTAAATTGCACATAATGCAGTTTTTAAACTAACCTCTAAATTATAACATTTCTAAATGAAATGCAACGTGACGTTTTATTTACAACCTGTTTTATTGGCATCTTTCCGCGGGTGAAACACTGATTGAACGATTACATGAGGCGTGAGATGTTCATTCATGTTTATTTCGCGTTAAAACTAGTAGTAAAGAGGAAGAGATGATCGCGCTGCCGCTTGAACTGAGAGGCGTTTATACAACGATCGGTCGCGCAACATCAAAGAGCGCCAAAACGGCATTCATTGTTTGAATTTCCTGAAAAAAGGACATAATTTGAAAGATGAGACTTTGTTTCTTATCAAAAGTAACAATATATAAAACTGGAAGTTTCCAAGTTCTATATATATATATGTGTATATATATATATATATATATATATATATGTATATTAAAAGTATTAGTATTTTCTTGAAGCACCAAGCTTTTATCTTAATATTTTAATAATTTAACAATGCATTCTCATGTTTACGGTTCTCTGATGTTGGTTAATGATCAAATGACATGCAGGAAAACAAGTGTTTTATTTTAAAATTATTTATTTACATTATAGGGCAGTTAGATTTGGTAATAAAATATATCATGATTATTTTTGCATATATTATGATTTGAACTTCAATATGATAATACAATTGTTTTTGAATTATTATTATTATTATTATTATTATCTTAACTCTAATTATAAACAAAATTAAGTAGGAAATATGTTATTGTAATAATACAAAAATAAAACAATAATATTTGATAATTATAATAGTTTTATTTTACACAACATGTTACAATTCTAAAAGCTTTTATTTTGGCGGAAAACTGCAGGGAGACCTTTAAGTCTGTGTTTAGTTAGTTAGACAACTATTTCTAAATGCTTCTCATTTCTGATAAAATGAAAACTTGTGAAAACACAACGTAAATTAACACATATGTAAGTCTACTTTGACTAATTTTAACAAATTGTCATGAAACCTGTTTGGAAAACCCTGACTTAGAATATTACTTTTATAACCTGTAATTAAATGATAAAATAAGACCTAATCAAAACTTTCCTCACACTGCCAAATCCATTAGAGACACGAGCAGGCATGCACTTAAAGCTAAGATGATGCTTTGCTTACCTTCGGATAGGTTTTGGCTCTTTTGTGGAGAAGACGGTGATGCCGTATATCAGCACGACTCCAGCCAAGCTCCTGAACCCCTGCACAGGGGACCAAAACTGCACCAGCCCCTTCAGCTACAAGAACGTGCTGAAACTCACCAGCAACGGGCAGCAGTTCAACAGTCTGGTGGGACAACAGCAGATATCTGGCAACCTGGACTCACCTGAGGGGGGGTTTGATGCCATCATGCAAGTGGCAGTCTGTGGAGTGAGTGAAAAACAACATTACTGATTATTGACTGTGCACTGAGAATATGTGCGGGTCATTCCTGAAATGTGACCCTGGAGCACAAAACCAGTCATAAGGGTACATTTTTCGAAATTGAGATTTATACATCATAAAGCTGAATAAATCAGCTTTCCATTGATGTGTGGTTTGTTAGGATAGGACAATATTTGGCCGAGATACAACTATTTGAAAATCTGGAATCTGAGGGTACAAAAAAATCAAAATATTGAGAAAATCATCTTTAAAGTTGTTCAAATGAAGTTCTTAGCAATGCATATTACTAATCAAAAATTAAGTTTTGATATATTTACGGTAGGAAATTTACAAAATATCTTCATGGAACATGATCTTTACTTAATATCCTAATGATTTTTGGCATAAAAGAAAAATGTATAATATTGACCCATACAATGTATTGTTGGCTATTGCTACAAATATACCCCAGCGACTTAAGACTGCTTTTGTGCTCCAGGGTCACAAATGTGGTGCCTCTTGCCATAAAATGCTGAACAACATGATTTTTAAATCATGCAGAGTATTTAACCTTCTTAAGTAATATTTTACTTATTATTTTCTATCAAAAATCAAGTTCAGGCCAAAGTAATCCACTCTGTTATTATTTTGTCCAAGCATTTTTTTTACGATATTTTCTTAATGTCAGGGGGGAAAAAAGTATTTTATAAAACAAAATTAAAACAAAAAAAATTAGGCCTATATATATATAATTAACAGGGTGGACATTTTTGGTCTTCAATTTCAAAGATTTTGTTTTACAAATGCTTACATTTATGGAAGCTTGTTTCCACCATGAAAAAAAAAAAAGTAATTTCAGTAATGGCTTTTTATCTCACAATTCGTACTTTCTTGCGATTGCTAGTTTATTTCTCACAATTTGGACTTTTCTTCTCAGAATTGTGAGTTTATATCTCGCAGTTGAAACTTAGACACTTGTAATTGCGAGCTAACATCTCACAATTCTGGCTTTGTTCTCTGAATTTTGAGTTTATATCTCAAAATTTTGATTTATAAACACAGTTCTGAGTTAACATCTCGCAATTCTGACTTATTTTCTTAGAACTGCAACTCGGCATCTCGCAATTTCGACTTAAAAACTTGCAATTGTGCATTTATATCTCACAAAACAGAAAAAAATATAAAAATTTTGAGATATAAACTCCCAATTGCGAGAAATAAAGTCACAATTCTGAGAAAAAGTCAGAATTTTAAGATGTAAACTCGCAGTTAACTTGTTTATTTTTTTATCCCGTGGTGGAAACGTGCTTCCATATTTATGTGCCTGAGCTTGGCCAAATTAATTTTTCAAATGTTTTACATCTCTCTGTCATAATTATACAAAGATATTTTAAAAACTGCATTTGATTTTCTACATTTTATGTTTTCCAAAAGGGGCCGAAAATCCTGAAAGACCCAAGCTCTTATTTTGTTTTTGTTTTTTTCAGACTTGATTTTTAAGTGGAAAAATGGAAATGCTACAGTAATATGGCCATTTGTGTCCTCAATCTGTTTTTGTACTTTCAGCTCACTCTTTGTCTCTTCCTGTTGTTTTTTTCTCTTCTCTCTCAGGATCACATCGGCTGGAGAAACGTCACTCGTTTGTTGGTGTTCTCCACAGACGCAGGTTTCCATTTTGCCGGCGATGGCAAACTAGGTGGAATCGTGCTTCCCAATGATGGGAAATGCCACTTAGAAAACAGCATGTACACCATGAGCCATTATTACGTGCGTATAAGACATCTCCAGGTGATTTTCAGAGCAGACTATTGGATGTTTGACAGATTCAACAGAGCTTTTCATTTCCTTTCCTGACTAGGATTACCCGTCCATCGCCCACCTGGTTCAGAAACTGAGTGAAAACAACATTCAGACCATCTTTGCAGTTACAGAGGAGTTTCAGCCTGTTTACAAAGTAGGTCCGCAGATGATTACCGTGTGCCTGAGCAGGAACACTTATATTTTTCTCTGTCTGGAGCCGGTAGTATCTTTCCCTGTGAGAATTTTTTATCTTTCTTGTACTTGACCGGATTGAAGCCAACTTTTGATTTGTAAAAGTTTCCACCTGGCCTGTAGTCTTTTTCCACACTAGTTAAAACTTAGGAAACTTTATAGTGCTTGCTGGATTTAAACAAATCACAAACGCTAAGTATTAAATGTAAGCACATAACATGTTGTTGCTGCATGAATGATTCCTCAATTCATCCCATATGGCAAAAAATATATTTTTAAATATATTTCAGAATATACAAAACAATCTACGTTTGCTAAAATATGTTTCATAATATATTTATGTAGATATATTTTCTGCCAATATATTATATGTATATATATATATATATATGAGTATATATGGCCACATTTGATGAAAAACTTGATATGATGTCTGTAACGCGCGTGAACATATAACACATTTAAATAAAATTCAACAAGGAACAGACTTTGCAATGTTCCAAAAATACAATATTACAACATTTAAAAATGAAACATTGTTAAATCATTATAAATCAATTTTGACCTCTAGTAGGCTATTCCATCCATATTTGCATTTTGCCTAAATGTAGGCTTCTGTAAAACTGGAAATGTATTTTCTTGCACCTGAAATACATTTTAAAATATATTTTGGTATATGAAGGTTTCAGTTTCAAAAATATATTTAATTGAGCTTCACTGTGTGTATATTTAGCATATATTTAAAACATTTTTTTTTTTTTTGCTGTATGGGATGTGGCCTGTTGAGGCGAGATATGCTATTACTTTTCTAAGTGATCAGACTTATAAAATTCACCTGCTGAGTGATAAAACAGGCAACAAAATCCCATAGACTTGCATTGAAAGAGCCATAGCTGGAGACTGTGTGTTACAAATGGATGAACTGTAATATAAAAATTCCATATCAAATATTTCACCACTGCGAGACTAAAACTCTCAGGCATCTGCACAGTTTGAATCCAGCTTCTCTCTATTTGGAAAGCCACAAGCCCAAGATAGTTTCCCAGTTTGGAATGATCCGAACGCCAAGGTCATAATTTAGAGTTCCTGCCTGCAGTTTAACAGGACTGTTGTAAAACAAACACCCTGCGTCCCTGTGCTGAAGATCCATGAATCATATGTTTTTTTCTCTCTTTCCACAGGAACTTAAAAACCTGATCCCAAAGTCTGCAGTCGGGACACTTTCAGCAAACTCCAGCAATGTTATCAATCTTATTATTGATGCCTACAATGTGAGCCGATGAAGTTTCTTTACAAATATCTGCCGTCTTTAAAGGAACTGGGCTGATTTCTGTTTTTTCTCAGTCTCTTTCCTCAGAGGTGATCCTTGAGAACAGTAAGCTTCCTGAAGGAGTGACCATCACCTATCAGTCGCGCTGTAAGAACGGAGTGGTGAATGAGGGAGAGAACGGAAGAAAGTGCTCTAACATCTCCATCGGAGACGAGGTGAGGCCAAATCAACACAAAGCAATATGCATCATCCGTCGCGTCATCCACAGCAGAAACCGCTAGCCTGTTGTTTTCTATTTCCAATGCATTCCCAGGTATCATTTAACATTAATATCACGGCTCAAGGCTGCCCCAAACAAGGCAAACCTGAAAGCATTAAGATCAAGCCCCTGGGCTTCACTGAGGAGGTGGAGATCTTGCTCAACTTCATCTGCGAGTGTGAATGTCACAAACACGGCATCAAGAACAGTGACATGTGTCATAACGGCAACGGCACGTTTGAGTGTGGAGCCTGCAGGTGAGACTCTCCTCACATAACAGTCCTGCGTTTGCTCAGAAAAACAAATGACTGTGTTTCATTGCTAAATTACATTTTATGAGTTTTCCTGGAAGGTGAAGCAAGTTGCAAATACTCAGCTTAAAGGGATAGTTCACCCAAAAATTAAAATTCTGTCAATAATTATTCACACTCATGTCGAATGTCACAAACACGGCATCAAGAACAGTGACATGTGTCATAACGGCAACGGCACGGTTGAGTGTGGAGCCTGCAGGTGAGACTGTCCTCACATAACAGTCCTGTGTTTGCTTATATAAATGCATGTCTTTGTTTAATTGCTAAATAACGTGTTAAAATTAATGCAGTTAACGCACCTGCCCTGCCCCTTACATATGTCATCTTACATCTCAATAAGGTGTGTTCAACTTGAAGCAGCGCTGCGCAGATCAATCAGTGTTTGACATCAAGGGACCGCGAGAGCAATACTTTGATTCGCAGTCCTTTGATGCCCCGTATGAGTTTTTGTCTAATATTTATATCATATGATATAGTTAAGCAATACCAGCACGAGTGCCAATGTGATTTTATACAACAGTATAATAAATGAGAACTTAATATTGTGTTATTTTAGGCACAATATTGACTGTTTTTGCTCAGTTTTGCCAACGCAAATATTAACTATAAAGCCACAGCAGAACTATTGTGCGTTTCTGAGCAACACGCAATGTCTGAATGAACCTGTGTTTTGAACGAATCGGGTGAACCATCGATTCAATGGCCCTTTCATAACGAGAGCCATTTACTTCATTCCTGTATGAATGAATCAGCCATTTGAATGAATGAATGAATTATTTTTTTTATTATTAAATGGATATTTCACACAAAAATGAAAAAAGAAAAGAAAATGTCTTTCTAACGCTACTTTTGGTATCTATGTCATGCTTTTCTAACACAATAATGGCTTTAAATGATCTTTCGTGGGTAGGATCTTTCTCAGCCAAATTTAATGTAGCGATTAACTAGATGCAATTTAACTAAATGTATAAAATATATGCATTTTTTATATCAACATCAAAATCATATACAATACCATTATACCAAAATTCACTGTATTACAGTAAAAAAAAATCTAGAATGCAATGATTTATCTAAATCAGCATACATTAAAGACAATATAATGTCAATAGTTTTGTTTTTTTTTTTAATATATGCTAAATGTGGTTCCTGTGGCTCAGTGGTAGAGCATTGCGTTACACATGACAAAGGTCATGTGTAAAAAGAAATGTATAGCCTGAATGCACTGTAAGTTGCTTTGGATACTTGTCAAAAGTTTGGAATAATTAAGATTTTTTCAAATGAAAAAATATATTAATATACACTACTAGTCAAAATTTAGGAATAATAACTTTTTTTCTTTTGTTTAATGTTGTTGAAAGAAGTCTCTTCTGCTCACCAAGGCTTCATTTATTTGATCAAAAATACAGTAAAAACTGTAATATTGTGAAATAATTTTACAATTTAATTTAACTGCTTTCCATGTGAATATGTGTTAAACTGTAATGTATTTCTGTGATCAAAGCTGTATTTTCAGCATCATTACTCCAGTCTTCAGTGTCACATGATCTTCAGAAATCATTCTAATATGCTGATCTGCTGCTCAAGAAACATTTCTGATTATTATCAATGTTGAAAACAGTTGTGCTGCCCAATATTTTAGTAGAAAGAAAGAAAGAAAGAAAAGGAAATTGATACTTTTCATCACAGGAATCACAGCAATAAATTACATTTTATAATACATTCACATAGAAAACAGCTATTTTAAATTGTAATAATATTTCACAATATTACTGCTTTTACTGTATTTTT